TAATCCTAAAACTGGATAAAGATAATAGAAGAAAAAAGTATGAACATAGATAGAAATTTGTTTAACAAAACAAACTATTAGAAGTTAGATCTGGCAGTATGTAGAAAGTGGTTTTGTTATAGGGATGGCAGTGTTGGTTCTCTTCTACCATTTTAGGCAGAAGTCTTCCTTAGGTGCTCTATATTACTTAGTGGTCTTAACCAAGACACAAGAACTATGACAGAACTTTCTTGAAGACTCAGGGTCATCAACAGTAACAGATGGCAACACTGTTAGAGGAGTCCTCACTCTTGGCCCTGCGCAGGTTACAAGCTGCAGGGGAGGCAATGGGTGGTGATCATATGCAGTTCAGGTGGACCAGCTATGACCCCAATCTCTTACCCACTCAAGAAACTACGCAGCTCTGTGGGAAGGCCCTGCATTCAAACCCCAGTACCAAAAACAAAATAAAACCACACTAGAATGTCAATGAGTGATGAAATTGATAATGACATAGCATTAAGTCTGATAACCATTACTTATCTGACAAATACAGTGATATAAGCTCCCATACTTTACTATTTATTATACACTGATCTGAAATAAAGTTCAAAGGGACTGTGACCCAGTATATCCAAGTCACCACAGGTGAGAGCCATGGCATAGTATGGAGGTAAGACTCGCTTTTCCCATTTAGATAGCACTTGGATTCTAGGCATTTTGTGTGTTTCATCCTCTGCTGTCAGCTTTCATTTTTCTTGTCAGTGTGTCACTGCTTTAATTCTAGTTAAATTTATACACAACTCTTAACTGGCAGCAGTTTTGAATCACCCATGGAACAAAAGTACCTGGTTTTGTGACAGAATTTGGCACTCTGGCCACAATAATTACTGTGTCTTGCAAAATAGTTATACTAAACTACAGGGGAATGAACTCTAAAACCTTTCATTTTTCTACAGAACTTGAAGCTCAAGTATGCCAATCCTTAGCAAAATAATAAAAACTACAAAGGGAGCAAAATTTATCTTTGCTACATTAGCCATCCCTTTGTTCAATCTGTCACCTATTGGACAAACCCCTAAGGCTTTCTGTGATCTCAATGTCCCCATTTCTTCATTTAACTGAATGAAGAGATGAATTAATTATTCCTACTGATTAAACTTAGCAAATGCAGCTGCACCTGCAGGGACTTCAAATGTGACAGGAAAGCTCTTCTCTCTCCATCTGAGGAATCTGGGGTAGGAATGAGGAAGGAACAAAAACATAAGCACAGATGCAACATGATTACCTTTCTCAAAGGACTTCAATGTGTGCCTTCAGCAAAGTGTACAGTCAACCCAGGTTTAACTCCTGGAAGCTTATTTCTGAATGCTACACAAAAGTATGTCCCATCACCATAAGCTCCTTGAGCTGAGGGCACTTTAAGTCCAGTCATCTGCTCTATTAAGCCCTCCACTACCCCTGCCTCTTCTTTCCCATCCCTGTCTCCTCCCTTGCTAAGCCCAAGTCTCTGACAGAAAGTGCTCTAAAGTCTGCTTATTCTGCACTCTCTCCTCCCCTATGCACTGTTTTGGGTCAAGACACTTCCATGTAAGGTATAAGGTGACCAAACTGTTGTTCTGAAGTTAAGTTTCCTCTTTTAAGGCTGTTGATTTTGACCCCTCTGACAACGAGGGCAAATGGGTCCAACCCGAATGTGCTACTCAAGAACCGCTTAAGTGATGGTGAAAATGTGAAGGAGAGAAAATACACCGGAGAGACACCTTAGACCTGAATTACTGAGGGATGCTAAGAGCAAACAGTCCTGAGGCTTTGGTCTTATTATATGTCAACAGAATGAAATATAATTTGCACATGGCAGTTAGGAAAAAAAGCCAACATCAGTGAAATCTGGTCTGTTATAAAAAAGTTATACTAATTTGAGTCTCATGTTTTACTCGCCATTCATGCCTAGCTATAACACTGCACAGTAATACACAATCATGTAATATGTATGCAAGTTTTGTTCTCTATAGTAATAGACTTTGTCTATTTAATAATAATAATAAAGATGATCTACTTAAAATCCTAAAATTAAAAATAATAAGAGGTTGGTTTGCAAAGTTGATAATGCTAACGACAAGATTTCAGAACTCAGAATAAATATGAATAACATGACTTTATAACAACATCATTCCCAAATTTAAAACAAATATTTTAAGTATATTTCTGAAGTGAAAGGTCTTATCTGGACCAAGAAGAGCAAGTGGGCTTCATGTCACATGCCAAATTCAACACCACAATAGAGGCCACCTACCACCTCAAATGGCTTGGAAGCAAGGAAGCCAGGTGTGTGCCATCAGCCATATCCACCCCCTGCTATCCCTGGAGGACAGTAACTGTTGAACAAATCATATTGAGATCACTAAGCCACTGCACACATGATTGAAAAGGGGATAAATAAAACACAGACTCACCAGAAAAATCTATTGTCAGTGGTGTGTTCTTGCATGCTCCGATGTGCATTGAGACTCAGATCTAAACTGGCTCCAGATGCAGACCATGCAAAATAAAAGTTTCCTGAATTCAAAACCTTTCGCACTTCTGAAATGCGATCCTCATCTGAAGCATCAACTCGAAGTGATATAAACTCGGTAGAAGTAACTCGGAAAACTTCAGATTCTTGAATTTTTCCAACAGACATACATCCAGTGACCAGGACCAGATAATGTAACATAGTATCACCTACAAGAACCAAAGATTTTATTTGAATGAAAAAAAGCAATATTTCCAAGCCATTTAAAGTTTCTCGTAGCTGGCTATGGTGGCACACACTTGTAATACCAGCACTTGGGAGGCTGAGGCAGGAGGATCACTGTGAGTTCGAGGTCAGCCTGGGCTACACAGTGAGTGCAAGGCCAGCCTGAATGACAGAGTGAGTGAGACCTTGTCTCAAAAATAAATAAATAAAGCTGCTTCTGATTTTTACTTTTGTCTCCATCTTTCAAACTGGACACTGTGTGGTTACTTTAAATTTATCATAGATATGGTTAAATTCACAACTAGATTTTTTTTTTCAGTTGAAAAAAATTCCTTGCTTAAACAAATTTAGTACAATAAGCATTTAAACATTAACAGGACAAGCTCACATTTATGAAATTGGTCCTCTATTTAACCTGAGGCTATACAAATTTATCAAATAGAAAATATATGTATTGCCTTTACTACCTTTCTTTGTGATGGTCAGAAATTCAGATAAGGCAATAAATGTGAAAATTCTTTATAAATAGCAAAGCAGAAAACATGGTGTACAAATGTTAACTGACAATAATGACATATGGGCCTAAAAATCCTTGACAACAATTTATGAAGCCATTTGTTTTGCAAATACTTTCACAGACATTTTTCATCTAATGACAAAAATTCTATGAAATGAGTATCAAGTTGGAACTCAGCAGTAACGTGCTCTGAGCATGACCTTTGACCCAGGTGGAAGTGGGCCTGAAATCTCAGCTCTACTATCTATCTAGACCAACTTCAGCATATTAGCATAACCAAACTGAGATGTAACCTTATGTAAAAAGGGATTAAAATACCTCAGAGTTACTTAAAACAATTACTTGGAAGGCATGCAGGCACAGTGCTTTATCTGTGACAGATTAATAACACATGACAAATCTCCATTTTATAGACTAACACACCCTTTCGTTTAGGTGATTCTTTTGTTTTCCCTGTTTGGTTTTCCACTGTTAGACTATCTCAATGAAGGAAGCCACGTGTAGGATCTTCATGACAGGACACAAACTCTGGAATTCAAAGTCAGAAAAGCTTAAGGATGTAGTATGTCTTCTTGGGCAATAAACATTACCACTGGATTAGCCTAATATTTAAGATGTAACCACACTTTATAAACTCAGTTACAGAGTCTGATATGATACATAGGTAGTCTCTCTCAAATCCTTAAAATTACAAAAATGAAATGAAAACAATACATGAATTATACTGAATAACAAACTTACCAAGATTCAACCGCAAAACACCTAAGAGTCCATATGCATCCAGGACTTTGGAGTATATACCCTTGATTGCCTCTTTTTCTGCAGATGCTACAAAAAAAAAAAGTTTGGATTAAGAAAAATTATCTGAGCCCTTTGCTTCTCGGCTGCCATGAGCCGAGCAGTTGACTGACTAACACAAGATCAAATTTCTACAACTATGTTTCTGGAGGTCATGGGCCAATAAAGGAAATTTTACTTAGACTGCTGTACCACTCTCGCCAACACAGAGGAGGTGAGCCACTCCCAACCCACAGTGGGAGGCTTCCGGGCCGCATACCACCCCTCCCAGCGCATAGGAGGTGAGCCGCTCTGGGTGCACAGGCGGAGGCTTGCAGGCCGCTGTGCCACCCCTGCCAGCACAGAGGAGGTGAGCCACGCAGACGCCAGCAACACTCCACCCCCCACCCCACCTCCCGTGGAAATGAGAAGACACGTAAATAAGTCTCAAAACCAGACTTCCAGATCACCTACAGCAACCCCAAAGGGAAACAAGAGAGAACACTCTGATACTCAACCACCTGGACTCCCCGAACTGGCAATAAAAGAGGATCTGGAAAAAGTGAAATCAGAAATAATTTCTCAGATAATGGCAGAGATTGTGCTCATAGTGCGAGACATGATTAATAAATCTAGAGAGGAGCTGAGGAACATGATGGAATCCCAACATAGGAAACAAATGGAATCCATAAAACAGATGCAA